GCCTGTAGCCAGCCAGCTGTTTGGGACTTCAGCTCCCAGAATTCCTGACCATTGGGCATGGTGGCTGAGGCTTCTGGGATTTGGAGTCCCATAAACCTGGAGAGCCATAGGTTGTGCAGGCCTGTTTTAGATTGCATTCAGAGTTCTTCACTGTTGTCAATGCTGACAAAGGTAGTTTGGAGCTGTAGACCAAAAACATCTGCTGGGGTCCTGTTGCTCACCTTACACTATGTGAGAAAAAGCAAGCACAATTCCAGCTTCCTTATTATGGTGGCATGATTTATTAGTTATTTTTTATGAAATAGTATAAAATTATAATAAATAAAATTAATGCATGATATCTGGAATACTTGGCTTCGAATTCTGTGAGCACCTCTTTTGGACCCTGGACCCATGAGAAGCAAGAAATGCAAAGTTCCTTCTTTAGGTCTGCTTTCAATCCATCTGGGCTCTTTAAAAAAGTCACCTTAATGACAGGGGAAGTTAAAGAAAGATAGGGCTGTCAATAAACACATTGTAGATTGTTTTGTTAGTGTTAAATCTATTGGCATCTAATTTCCTTTAAACATAAATGACAATGACCAGCTAATAACAAGAAAACAAGCTAATTCTCAATATGAAATTCTTGTGTTAAGTGGTTTTTTTTTTTAGTTTTAACAAATGTCTTGAGAGAATATACATAGTGCTAATTTTCAGGAACTGCAATTGCTTATTTTGACTATTTCTTAAGAACTGCAACATGCTAAAGGTTAAAACCAAACTTTTTCAAAATTGATCAGCATTGAAATGTCAGCTGTCTACTTATGGCAGCCTACCAGCATGCAAACACGGGGCTAATATTGATTTCCCTGGTTGCATAACATTTACATTGTGACATTTGCTACAACATTAGCAAAACGGTTGTTCCTTGATCAATCATTTCTTGATAGTACATACCATACAATCACACTTGATGTGACCTATTTGGAAATGCATATTAACTACTGGGCTAAAGTGTGTTTTTCAAAATGTAAACCTGAGCTGAAAAAATTCAGTTTTCTAACATAGATAGCATTTTAAGATCACAATAGAATGTGATTCAAAGTGATCCAATTTTAAGAATGCAATCCCCTGCTTGTTTATGCAGAACTACTGCATTTAGTGAGACTTCTACGTAAGCAGGTATCACTGTAGCTTTAGTCAAAAATGGGAAAACCTGTGAAAATTGAATTTATGTTTTGTTGTGAAATACAACTTTGGGGGCACTAAAAAAGCTAGTTAAGCATTCTTAAAAGAGATTATTACTATTACTATTATTATTACTGTTTTCACCCTGCTTTATCTCTCCCACAGGAAATGTTTAGCTTCCTTTCCTTTCTCGACTTTCTTGTCCACAACTTTTTCTAATTTCCTGTGGAGGATAAAAGTTTATCAAGTTTTATATCACCCTTCCACCAAGTGTTCAGGGTACATAGATAGTTGCCCTTTGCGTCAGTTATTACATATATACATACCTAATCACTTTTTCAACTTTTCAGCACTGATGGAGGCTGACATCACAGCTAAAGAGTTTTCCTTTCATTTGTTTGTTTCCATCCCTGCTTGTATGAGAATAGAATTTTTTAATAAAAAGCAGGTGGAAGGCAAATCCAGACCTTCCTCCTTACCATGCATGTTGTTGTTCATTCGTTCAGTCGTCTCCGACTTTTCGTGGCCTCATGGACCAGTCCACGCCAGAGCTCCCTGTCGGCCGTCACCACCCCCAGCTCCTTCAAGGTCAGTCCAGTCACTTCAAGGATGCCATCCATCCATCTTGCCCTTGGTCGGCCCCTCTTCCTTACCATGCATACTGGTCTTCAAATTGAGTTGTTTATGCTTATTCTGGAGCACTGCTTCTTAAACTGTGGGTTCCAACCCAAATAGGGCCCTCTTAGCTCAGTGTTGAGGTCACAAAAAACTGGCAGCAGTAAAATGTTTTTGAACTCCATCTAGACATTTAGCAACAATGTGCAGTGTTTATATTGGATCCGGCTGAAAATGATTCCATTGCATTTCACAAAAGAAAATTCAGCATGATTAGCAAACTTTGCAAATGCTGATTTATTACCAGTAAATTTGTTTTTTTTATACCTATTTTATATACGTATATGCACGGGGTTGCATAAAGAAAATTGGGGCCGAAAGAGGTTGTAAGTAGAAAAAGTTTAAGAAGCTCTGTTCTAGACCAGGAGTGGTGCTATACTCCATACATTAACATACCATGTAATTTGATTCAGAGAGAAAAGGACTGCATAGGGTCACCTGGTCAATGTAAGGATAAATTTTGACTCTTTCCAACATGAAGCTCGCCTGCATCTGGCAACAATAGGAGGTAGGTGGCTCACTTAGGACCTCATCCCTTGAGCGGCGGGAAAGCAGGGGAAGGCTCAGAGGACAGTATTACCCCGTTATCTCCCATCTTTCCCAGTTTTCCAGCATGGCTAGTCACCCCACATAATTCTGTGCCCTTCCCCACCTTTCCTTGACTTCTCTGCAGCTTCTGCAGTTGGGATTTAAACAGAATCAGTCTTCTGAAAACACAGTCTTCCCTCTGCTCCCCTTCGATGCTGCCACAGAGTTCCACTAGAAGTGACCTTGCGTTGTGGGACTCGGTGGCAGCAGCTCAGGGAAACTGAGAGAAGACGTTCTCAAGCCAGCATGGGAAGAGGTCCTTCAAGCACCAAGTAGGTCATATGGGTTTATTGCTGAGCCCTCTCCTCTTTTCATCCTCTGTTTATTTCCCCAAATCCTGTTCTTGGTCAGTCAGGTTCAAATGCCAAACGTTCCAAGTTCTTGGAGAGAGGTATTTGGTGGGGAAGCAGTTTCAATTATCTTTGCCTTAAATCTCTTTATTGTATATCTCTATTTGATGTATTATGTGCTACTGGCACAGGCCTTGGTACAGTGGGAAATTATGTGAAAGAATGGGATGTTTCTTATGCTGAGTGGAATCATGCCTGAGTTTCTTTAGACTGTAGATGTATGTGACAATTTGTTAAGCTAGCATGCCAAATAATTGTAATTCATTACATAGACTTTAACAAAATGCAACTTGTATGTCAAGATTTGGTGATTATGTGATGAACCTTCATGTGACCCACAAAACTGACCTGACCCACCTGATAGAGCATGCATATTATCTTGCTGTGAGCAAGGTGAAATGTAGGGAAATTATTCCAACATGCTGTGCTTGCCCCTCTTTGGAACAAAATGCGTAATCAAATATGAAACTGTCAGTTGAAAAAGACAGTGACTGCTGTTCAGGCTTGTCCTTTGCTTGTCTGGTTATTAATCAAACACTATCAGCTTGCACCAAAAAGCATGAAATGCTTGCACTAAAAATCAATCAATCAAACGATTTTCTCTGCTCTTTTGAGTTGTGACCAGTAGAGATTTTTAATAGATTTGTTGCAGTGTGCAAATTCATTTTCTAAGTATTTGTATTTTATATTAATCTTTCACTAAGGATAGCAGATTAAATTTTAAGCATGAAATGTTTTTTTAAAAGATGTATCTTTTAAAAAAAATCAGTGGCATTGGATTTAATTATAAGAAATAACGTTTTAGCTTATGTAGATGACTATGTTGCATGGAGCTACATAGGCAGTTTTTCTTTTCCAGGGTTTTTTGGGGGTTGGGTGGGTAGGAGGGGTATCCTATATTTTTTAAAATATATTATATCCATACTAAAGTCACTCCACTGACTGCCAATTAATTTCTGGGAAAAGTACAAAAGTGTTGGTTTTGATCTTTCAAGCCCTACATGGTTTGGGTCCAGGTTATCTACAGTGCGGGTCTGGTTTCAGAAGTCCATAATGTCATGTGCAGCTCCTTGCATGGGCTTCCTGTAGTTCTTATGTGGGATTTTTTCATCTCTTGGAAAAGCTAAGTTTGAGAGTGCTACAATCTCCAGTGCTTTATTTATTCCATATATGGAACTTTAAATGCAAACTCTCTTGAGTTTGTGTCACATTGGTTAAAATGGCTTTTTTCTCCTGTCTTTTACACAAATGAATAACTTCTAGACTTCTGGTGCCTTTTCATATCTTGCAAATTATTATTACTATTGTCAGATCATAATAGATTTTTCACGAACAATTTATTTTATTGATTAAAACAGTTATATCACAGGATATTGGTGTACAAATAAAATGAATTTAAACAATTTAAAATGAGAAAGCAATGGAGAATGATTTTTCTATTGCCTGCTTTTCCTGTTGCTTCCTGACTTGCCTGAGAAGGCAGAACAAACAGCATGAGAGACAAAAAATGAATTCAACCAGAGCATGTTTAGCACAGGAAGGAGTCAGCACTATTTGCCATAAGCAGAGCTTCAGGTACATGGAATATAATGCATGAATAGGTTAATATTTGGAATGATTTAAGGATAAATTTTAATGAAAAGTTAGAGGTTTGTGTGTCATGCTGATGTAAAGATGCATGTAATAGAGAAGAGCCAAAGAATGATAAACATGGAGATTGCAAAGATATTGATGACAGAAGAGACAAGTCATCGATTTCTAGAAACTGGATTCAGCAGGTGAGATAGAAGGTAAAAGGCAGCGAAGTCCTGCAGTCATCAAAGCTGCCTGTGCTAGTTAATACAACATGACTTGGGTTATTAGCGACTGCATCGTTCATATTATGAAATTTAAAAAATATTGAAATATTGTGTTGGTCTATACCACTGCTTCTTACAGTGTGGGACCTGACCCAAATGAGGTCCCCATAGTTTGGGGTCATGAAAAATTTGGAACAGTAAAAGGTTTGAGTCCCACTCATTTATACAAATCTGTTAACCACAATGTGCACTTTGCAGAAAATGCTTCAGCTGTACTTCATGAAAAGAGAAAATCAGCATGTAAAGCAAGCCTTGCAAATGCTGATTGATCCTCAGTAAATGTTTAGTCTTTAATACCTATTTTATATATCTGTATACCTGGTCTAGAACAACTCACATTTTGTCCCATTCTCCTCCTCAGATTACAGCACGCTCGCTTCCCATTATACAAACCGATGAGAGACTCCAGCCTCTGCTCAGTCACCTCAGGTAACATCAGTATACAGTTTCCCATGACAAGATACATATATTTCTCTGTACTGGGCAGCTCAGCAGGAAGGAGACGGTTGTATATGTTGATGCTGCTCCCAGCCAGCATTTCTCTACCTTCCCAGACCAAATATTAGAAACTTCCCTGTTATTCCATTCCCCCCCCCCCCCCCCCCCCCCCCGCAAATAGTCTTATCAGTTCCACTGTTGGGATTGCTTTCAGGCCACAAAAGAAAGTTATCTTGTTTTTAAAGCTGGGGTGACTCCTATCTTCATTATAAGCAGCTCCACTTTCTTTATCTGGCCTCAGTCAAGGCAGAATTGTCTCAGCAATTTGGTTCTGGGTTATCTGAAGAGCTCAACTTTCTACACCCTTCGTTAGAGCTCTTCCTCTGATACCAGCAGTTGAGTGCAGAAAGTGTTTCTCTGCCCCAGTACTTTTTCAGTGCTATGAAGGTTTCTCACACCATAAGTGCTGCACATTGCTGCATCAGTAAGCCACGGGCTGCACTCTTCTTGTCTCATCACTCTTCTTCTCTTCATTCATAGAATTAAGGAGTCTGAAGATAATTTTGCAAACTGTGTTTTGGCCGTTATCTGGAATTGCAAAATTCAAAATTGTCCATATGGGGCCTGAAATTGTGACAACTTTGCTTTCTGACAGTTTGCTCCATGCACAAGCAAAATTATTTAAAAATATTGTGTATGTGTATAAGGTATACGTGAAACAGAAATGAATTTTATGTTTAGACCTGGGTACCATCTCCAGGAAATCTTGTTATAAATGTATATGCATACACAGGTATTTTGAGCCCCTGGTGGTGCAGCAGGTTACATTGCTGAACTTGCTAACGGAAAAGTTGGCAGTTCAAATCCAGGGAGTAGGGATGAGCTCCTGATGTTAGCCCCAGCTTCTGCCAACCTAGTAGTTTGAAACAGTGCTCTATGCAGTAATATCAGCCACATGACCTTAGAGGCATCTACAGACAACGCTGGCTCTTTGATTTAGAAATGGAGATGAGCACTCCCACACCCAGAGTTGGACACCACTAGACTTAATGTCCAGGGGAAACTTTTACCTTTAACTAGACAAGTATTCTGAAATCCCCCCAAATCTGAAACACTTGTGATAAGAGATACTCAAGCAGTAGTAACATTTATGGAAATGCTACCCTATAATGAGCATGTTGCATCTGATGAATTAGTAATGCTGTTGTCATAAAACTGCCTTTTCAGTCAAAGCTTCAAGTTTCCCTCTCAAGTTATCTTTACCATATATTTGTCCTTGAAAAATGTCCTCACTACTTGAAATTCCTGTGGAATATTCTCCTTTGCTCAGAACTCTTTTAAAGCCACAATCATGATTTTATTATGTATTCCCTTGGGTTGTCTGCTCATAGTGCTCTATAATATTTCAGAAAAGTTGTCACCATTCTCTGATAAATTAAAGAAGACACACTTCTTCTAGTGGTTCCTTTAATAAAAAAACCTATGAGATCTATACCTGAGGTACTAGAAATGGTTTCTTTGAACAACTACTTTGATATGCCTTGTTAGATGTCTGATATTTTGCTCATACTTAAAATATAATATTCAGCTTAGGATGTGATTTTGAACATATTTCAAAAAAGAAATGCATTTCAAATAAATGGCCCAGAATATATGTATGGTAAAAAGTTAGAAATGTCTTAGTTAAAGGGTTTTTTCCCTTCCCTGTCCATCCGTTCTCAAAAACTGAAGGGATAAAAATAAATCCAACTTCCACGTGTTTTAATTAAAATTGCTAATTTCTTACATTGAATTATTGCTTCTAAGAGTCATTGAAACAAAACATAACAAAACATATGTTGCTGTAACTATGTTCCCATAGTAACAGCAAGATTTTCTTTTGAAATTCTGAAAATTATATTTGCCACAAATAACTTCCTTTTTAAATACCTTCTCATCGCTACAGCCATGCATATGTTGGTCCAGATTACAGCATTGAAAAAAATATTGGGAAAATTTCACTGGAACAGATTGATGCCGTAAGTGTTTCACACTTTTGAATTGCATTATGCATTCCTTGAGTTTTGCATTCAGGTAATGACATCTATGTACAAATGGAAAACAATAATGGATTGGGTCTACAAGTCTTATCAGCTTTTAATCCATTACTTATAATGTCTCAACAGTAGCAGACTATATAAAATTCACATTGTCTTTAAAACATGGTATAGAAATGTACTTGTTTAGACGGTTAGTAAAATAGAAATACAACAAAGTGGAGAATGGAAATATTAATACACATTTGAGGTACCATTTAAGAGTGTTCAAAGCTATTTTAGCCCAGTTGCCATACCATTGTTGGGAAATTTTTCAGATATCCAAGACAGAAAGGCCCTGTCTTTTCCACAGACAAGTAACATCTAGGCTTTTGATACCTTTTCATCTCTTTCAAATTATTTTTAGTGGCCAATGACTTAACCACCTGGCTATTCCTGTTTAAGACAACCTTATGCAATTCATGTTGCTCCATAAGTGTATAGGCAATTAAAGGCACATGCAGATGCTCTTATAATTGTTTCATGGAAGCTGGAGATTTCTTATTTAGATGATTATGATGAGGAAACAGCAACTCAGTATATATATCTGGTTGTATTGGACCTGAGATGCAATGTTTGTTGATTATTGGGTTGCTGTGGGTTTTCTGGGCTTTATGGCCATGTTCCAGAAGCATTATCTCCTGACGTTTCACCCACATCTATGGCAGGCATCCTCAGAGGTTGAGGGGTCTGTTGGAACCTAGGCAAGTAAGGTTTATTTATCTGTGGAATATCCAGGATGGGAGAAAGAACTGAACGAAATCCGGCTACCAGAATTAAAAAAAACTCTAAAATCAGGACAGTAAATAAAGAACAACACTCAAAAAGTTGGAGAATTCCAAACAATCAATCAGGGCCAGCTAACATCTCCCAACAAAAGATTTCCACGGGCAGCAATCAGTCAGGTTTTGAAGCTGCAAGGGTAATCAAGGTGGCCAGTTGCAACATTCATACTAGTCTTAAGCAGACAGGAGTTCTTTCTCCCACCCTGGACATTCTACAGATATATAAACGACACTTGCCTAGTTTCCAACAGACCCCTCAAACTCTGACGATGCCTGTCATAGATGTGGGTGAAACATCAGGAGAGAATGCTTCTGGAACATGGCCACACAGTCCGGAAAACTCACAGCAACCCAGTGAATCCAGCCATGAAAGCCGTCGACAACACTTTGTTGATTATGCTTGTTTCAATGAAATCTTCATTTTTAATTTTAAAGAGAGGCTTAGAGAATTGATGTTAATATGCAGAACTTAATCTAAGCCAACATGCTGTAGCGGTTTGAGTTGGCATAAGACTCTGGAGACTAGAGTTCATATTTCTGCTGAAATCCCATTGGGTGACTGTGAGACTTTCTCTGCCTCAGAGAAAAACTATGGCAAACTCCCTTTGAACAAAGCTTGTCAAGAAAACCTGGTAATAATTTACCATAAGTGAAAAACAACTAGAAGGCAGAATGCAACAGCGACCATCTTAGAATTTACTTTATTTGGGGAAACCTGCAATTTTAATAAAATCTATATAATAAACGTGTAATTAGCTATATTGGTGGACACTTTGAGCTAGAATTTATGAATGGATTTTTAAAAAAATAAACACACTCTGTTGTTCTGTTTGATCTTGTGTCTTGTACAGAAAGACATACTTGATTAAAAAGCTTAGAATCATATTGAGGCTATAAAATAAATTTGTCCATAATTTCTGCATACATTTTCATCTTATTCTGTTCACCTTTCTAAATTAATTTAAGCAATGAACACAGTGCAACCTTTAATACGAGATTTCCTGTTGCAGCTTTCCGTGAAATCCTTTCCCCCCTGCATGCGCCAGCTGCACAAAGCTTTGCGTGAGAACCACCATCTCCGTCATGGAGGCCGTATGCAGTATGGCCTGTTTCTAAAGGGCATTGGCTTAACATTGGAACAAGCTTTGCAGTTCTGGAAAGCGGAATTCATCAAAGGCAAATTAGATGCAGATAAGGTAAGTTCTTGGTTAGGAGCCCTCTTCAGTTGTCAGTAGTTGTATTTTGAATGTTTACATAGTTCACAGGTGTTATTTATATACATTATGGACAACTGGTATAGATTAAAGCATCAGCATCTACTCCAAAGCCTCTGTTTTAACATGCGTCTCTCATAAGAGGTTCCCATCGTCACCATCAAAACCTTTTGTTCATTTGGTCTTTGAAACTGAAAACTGGGAATCAGGACTCACACCCCCTTCTCTCCTTGTATGCTTATATAATTTAATTCATTTCTATCATAAGCAACTCTTCCAAAGAGGGGGAAAAACCCCAATGTATTGAAATGCATCTTTGTGTGTATTTGTGAAAAATCACTGAAGGGACCACATTCTAAAATAGATGGTGTCCCAACATCATGTGACTGCCCTTCTCTTTATGCAATGAGATTTCCCCTTCCTTAACACAGACACACACACATCACAAATGGTTTCCTTCCATTTGTTAGCCATACAATTTAGCTTATTTGCCAAACTCTGCTGTTCCATTTTGTGTGTGCAAGAGGCTTTGGGACTTTCTGATTTTGTTGTGCATCATTTTTTCCAGCATGTAAAAGATTTAAGATTAATAAGTGATATGCTGTGAATTTGGTGAATAAGCTCAAGTATTATTACATCAAGGGGTCGCGATGGCTCAGTGGGTTGAAAATCAGGATCTGATTTTCATAAAGCATTATTTTGGCTTTTCAGAGAATGTTCTTTTGTTGAAAACCTTTCTTCATTCTAAACCAAAATAACTGGTACCACTATTTTTATGGCTTTTAATTATTTATTTCATGTTAGATATCACTAGTTGTTTGAGTCAGAGATGTGACACATGCTCTGCACGGCACTGATTAATATAATAGAAAATTGGAGTGCGTTTTTTCCTTTGAATCTATTGACATGCTTCTTAGTCCTTTCTTTTACAAACATGACCATATAATATAATTCAAGTACATTGTGCTGTGGTAGGATCTGGAAAATCTCAAGAAAACCTCATGTTGGTTTTACCTTATGGCAGGCATAGGCAAACTTGGGTCCTCCAGGTGTTTTGGACTTCAACTCCCACAATTCCTAACAGCTGGTAGTCTGTTAGGAATTGTGGGAGTTAAAGTCCAAAACACCTGGAGGGCCCAAGTGCCTGGCCTGCCTTAAGGTCACCATAGGTCAGAAACACCTTGAAGGCACACAACAATTACACATTTACCCTAGTCTAGACATACTGTTGATGGTGAAGTGGGACAAATTTGGATTAACTTGACAAGCTTAGAAATTCTGCTTATTATATTTGCCTTAATCCTGCAGTTTCCAGGGAGGACTATGCAGACAATGTGAACATTCTCCCACCCAGAAGGGTATTATTATTTTTTCTATGATCACTTTTTCTCTAATGCAGTAATAAAGAGAGGGCTCTTTGGATGAATGCTTTTTCAAATGGAACTGTAAGCGCGTTTCTAAAAATACATAACCTTTGAAAACAATAGAAATTAGTACAATAGTTTCCCGTAGCCTATATAAAGCTACTATTAAGTACTCTTCTTCACAACATGAGAAAAAAAATTGATTAATTAAATCTGATAAGGGAAGTGATTGTTAAGACCCCCCCCCAAACAATCCCCCCAAGAACCCAGAACATTTAAATAACTTAACGCAATATATAGAATGCAGTCTTGAAATAACAGTATGGAAGACAATAATAATATTTCAAAACTTATTATAAATGTCCTTTGCAGCACATTAAAATAATTCTTTGAATTATAACTTTTTTTCATACAAGTTGAAGGACTGAATTTTATATATGGTTAAAAAGCTGCTTCTTCGACTTGAAATAAAGAGGTGTTTGTGTTTGGATGCATGTATGCATACAACACACATTGAAGGGGCATCAATGTGCCCATTTAGTTAAGGTGCAAGAAGAAAGCCTTAATCTTTATAAGCTCCACAATTCTATTGTTCATAGAAATACTTAATAGAATCAAAAAGGCCAGGCCATAGGCTATTGTGGCCTATGATCTAGGCTTTTTGATTCTGCTAAGTATTATACAAACTCAGGAACAACAGTACGTCTACTAAATCTTGTGCTGACAGTAATAGTTTGGCTGAAAATTCTCAGACTACCAGTAGTGAGCTTCATTTAGAAGTAATTTTCAAGCCTTAGTTTTAACCTTTTCACCTGTTGCACATGAACATCATAGCAATTCTGTGTTGCATAACATAGCTGTTCAAAATGTTTTGTAAGATCTATGAGTCCCTTTTCTCTCCTGAGGTTTAGATCCTGTGAAATCAAGTTTTCTCTTTGTTTTGTCTTCATTGGAAGGCTAGGCATATATATCTGACCTGCGTTTTTTCATGAAGGCATCCAAAGAATGGATGAAGCCTAGGACTCACAGATTTAACCACTGTTATATGGTATACACTTCAGGATGCTTAAAGATCTTAAATGCAAAATTCTTCATGTAAGAGAATTGTTATGGGAATGATCCCAAGGTGAAGTGAGTGTGTGTGTGTGTGTGTGTGTGTGGGTGGGTATATCACATTCTACCAAACTTATTTAATACAGGATGAGAAAGCATGTAGGAGAAAACATTTTCCAGAGGAAGAATTACTATGGCTTTTGCAAAACACCTTATGAAGAACCAGTTCTTTTTGAATTCCTTAAGCTTTTGAAATAGGGATGATCTGGTAGTCATTCATACTTAGAAAGCTTTTGATAAAATCTTCTGCAAAGAGTCACATGTAAACTTTGAAGGCATAGGATAAGGGAGCCAACCCTCAAGGGCAAAAAAGGCAGAAAGACGATAATAAATAGGCTGCTCTCACCATTGGAGAAAGGAGTGCTTCCCACTCTCCCAAATATAGCCACTTCTCTGCTTGATGTTTCTTCTAATGCAGAAGACAAACTTGAAATAATCAGACCATCTTTTGCCTCCTGTTTTCCAGGTTTCTTGAGGACCATTCTGGAAAGGTAGAGAGGGAAGTGCACTACACAACTGCTATGGCATTGACTGTGGAAACTGCATGTTGTTATGTTCTAGTGCCTCTTAAATGAAGCGGAAGAGGAAAGGAACACAAGAGTGGAATAATGATAGCTGCTTTTCTATTTTGAATTGGATGAGAGTAATCTGAGTCAGTCTTGTAAACGCACAGTATAGAGAATTAAAATCTTGTCATTTTAACTACAAGGGTCACTGATTGATGGACACAGCTTGTTCTTTTGACACTGTAGTATTGAAGATTTGAATGGATTGTGTGCATGTGGTTGAATTCTCTGCCTTGGTAAGTGGAGAAATCCACAGAAGTGTAAATGTCATGGCCTAGAAGAAATGAAGGCAAAGTGCCATGGATTCTCCTAGTTCTCTTTTGCTCAGAATACAGCCCTTTCTCCAAGCTCTCTCTTTAACCTTCTATTTCTTTTTCTCTTATAAGCCACATCTTCTCATACAACTTACCCATTTCTTCATTGATCTTATTGCATCCTTCTGCTCATTGTCTTGGAGACAGCAGATTAGTTGACTTTGTCCAGGTGAATCAAGGCATACACTTTCCCATCATATGAACTGGTCAGTCATCCAGAGCCATCATTTTTTAAAGCGGTGGCTACATCAGTTGATTATTAATTTACGTTCGAAATTGTCAGGGTAATATAGAGAACCCCAATACTTAAATCAGCTCTTATGAAATGAACAAATTGAAATCCACTTAGGCTGCATTTTGCATAAGAGCACCCTACCGTGTGATGTCCCACTAAGAGGTGACATACTCATCCTTCAGATGTGTAGAAGTTCCACTTTGTGTGGATTTCTCATCTCACTAGTTCCATGAATGGACATTGACAAGATAGCATGAAAATACATTCTGGATTGCTTGAAAGGAGGACTCCACATCCTGTGTCAGGACCCAGAAGCCTTAAACAACGCCAGGCACAGATAAAAGGTTCAAACACAGCTTTATTGCAAACAAAAGGACCTACAAAGCACTTAACTTCAGTGCTAAGGCCCGCTGGAGCAATTTGGCACCAAAATAAAGTCAATAGGAGTAACAAAAATATAATCCAGATTATAGTGCTGCCTAATAATCCAGATTAAACCAAAGATGAAGCAAATTGCTTAAAAATCAAAATAGGACAAAAGCACAGTCTCTGAAGCTGGAAAAGCGTAGTTTCAAAACTCAAAGTTCTTACAGTCACAAAAGTATAATCATACAAAGTCCAGAAGTCCAAAATCGTAGTCAAACCGGTCTGTAGTCAATTCCGTTGAGAAGCAAGGCTGGAATGCTGGAGTCACCGAGGAAACAGGAGTACAGGAACACACGAAGCTGTAACCCAGGACCCAAGGTGGAAAGTTGGCAGTACAAAGAATTATGTCCCATGAAGACACTTTGCCTTCTGCAACTTGTAGTCCAAACTGAACCCACTTTTATCTCAAAGTTCTTCCTCAGAGCTTGATGAGCTCCCCACCCTCTTGTCATCACTCTCAGCTGCTCCCAAACCTGCAGCTGAATGCCCATCCCTCCACTTCTGCCAACGATTATCAGGGTTCAGATCCTGCCAAGAGTCCCCTGGCTGCCAATCCCCAGTGAACCCCCCAAATTCCTTACTAGAGGTGGGCTGGTTACAGATATCCCTTATGTTTTGCACAAGGGTCCAATCTAACTCCTTCTCTTCTTCCATATCACTCCCAGTCCCAGAACTCCTTTCAAACCCAAGGAAATCTTCATCCTCTGTTGGTGCACAAAGTATTTCTCGAATACGCTTCCTTTGTAATTCCCCTTCAGACTCTGGCTCCCGAGCAGCCCTCTTTACACCTCTGCTCACTTCCCCATCCCCCATCTCACAATGGGAGAAACCTGGGAACGTGTCAGTCTCGCTTGGAGCCATAATGATTTCCCTAATGTGCTGACGCGACTGTTCTCCCTCTGACTCCAAAGTAGATCTGTTCTCCCTGCTACTAGGAGTAGCAACTCGACCAACACGCTGAACT